TAATTTTAAGGGAAAATAGGATAAAAGTTAGAGGTTCAATCTAACCCCAATTTTTAAAAAAATATACCCCGCGAAGAAAATAATGTGAAATATATGAAAATATCAATCATGATTTTTGGTGGGCTGTGGTAATTTTTATATTCCTTTATGAATGTTTATTTTCCAAATTCTTTGAGTCTGAGTTATTCTTATAAGCAGAAGTAAACAAATATTTATTATAAACAAACCCTTCAAAGCTTGCTCTCTCAGTCCCTCTCTTCATCCTGGGGACCAATGCTCCCTTCTAGAACTTGGAGGCTCTTGGGCATGGTTTCAGCACTGGGCCACTGTGTTCTTCTTTGTCCATATATATATATATATGGACATGCAAAATATATATATATATATATATATCACAAAGAGAGAAATTGCTCCAAAGGTAGAGATACTCTTATCATGCTGAGTAATTTGACAGATCTAAGACTCAGTTTCTTAGTTGTAAAATGGGAGAATGGCTACTGTCCTTTCTTATACCACAAAGAGATTATAGAGACTGAAGGGAGTAAGGAAGGGGAGAATACTTAAACCATTTAGAACAGAACATGATGGTGATGGGTGGATTGTATGTTACCAATGGTAGTTACAGCTTAGAAGGTCTGACATTAAAGCATGGTAACAATATCAACCCTGTTAGCCGTCTGCATCACCATGCTTCGTATGATGGTAGGACTGAAAACTGGGTAATTAATATTATTGTGGTTGCAGGATCTTTGGAATTTTCGCACCAAATTTCTGAATGTTTTAATAGGCCCCCCTTTTCAAACATTCACCAAATAACGTCAAGTGCCAGAAAGGGTCACCAGAGGGCGCTAGATCACTTACGGTGTCCCCCTGGCTTCCACAGCGAAACCACCATGATTTGTTATGTCAAGAGTATTGGAACGGGGTCCAGGCCCGAAAAAAAATGAAATCCAGTGTACATTAGTTATGATGTTGGGCCAACATTTAAGTAAATAGGGTTCTTTTTTTCTCCTTGGCTGTTACTTTAGTCGCTCTGCTTTTTCGGTTTGTATGCTAATGTACTTTTATTTATTTCTTCTCCGTCAGTTGAGACTGTTCAGAGAATACTTTAAGAGAAACCTGAGACCCTGGTTGGCTTTGAAAGCTGCCAGAGGCATGTGTTCACATGATAAAGAGGCTGCCCTCCCCTCTGAGAAGTTTATAAATGTATTTAGAAAGAAATACATGACCTATATCGTGGTCAGAATGGAGGAGGCTGAAGTTGCTCTTTTTATTTTTTAAGGTTTATTTATTTATTTATTTGAGGGAGAAAGAGAGAGAGCGCACAAGCAGGGAGGAGAAGGAGAAGCAGGGTCCCCGCTCAGCGGGGAGCCCTCTGCGGGGCTCCGAACATAGGACCAGGACCCTGAGATCACGACCCGAGCCAAAGGCAGACGCTTAACCGACTGAGGCCCCCAGGCGCCCCTGAAGTTGGTCTTTGTGGTTAGGCTGTCAGTGCTTGTGTGATGGGCCATGGGTCCCAGCCTGCAGAACAGCAAAGTGAGGGCAGGGAGCAATAGTCCTGCCTGGGCTCGTCTGCCCCACGGTCTGGTGCCGCCCCCCCCCCCCCACAAGAGTACTGGTTTGGGGTCAGAAGATGCGGTTGGCGTTTGGCTGTGCTTTGGGTCACAGTAGTTAGAACCCAGACCTGTATCATGTTTTCTTTTTCATCCTTACAAATATCTCTTGTTATTTGTAGGTAGGTAGGCAGAGCAGTTCCTGTTTTTATTCCAATTTTACAAGTAAGGAAACACGATAAACGCAAGGTACTGAAGGTTCCTTTTGAGTTTGAGGTTGGTTCCGCTCTGCGTAGAACTTTTTCCTCACTTGGCCAGGTCAGGTGTGGGTCTTCCGAACCTGGTCCTGAAGTTGGCGGATGCTAGGGTGGTAGCAGAAGAGGCCGGCAAAGGCCCGATGAGGGCCCTCTCTGGTGGATGGTGGCTCTCTCATTCACTGCTTACCAGTTGAGCCGTCCTGGGAGGTAGTGTGGGACTGGGGTTGTATGAAAGGTAGGCTATTGACTTTGATGGCGAGGAACTCTGATGAATCCTGACTCATGATGGGATGATGGAGGTGACAGCGGAGGAGAAACAGGTGGGGATTCTGCAGTTAGGGTGAAGAAGTCACAGCAACCTGTGCCTTCTTGCTAGTAGCTCCAGACTGGTACTTTAGGGGAACTCAGGTTGTGGGGCTGTCCAGGAAGGCCTGGAGAGGATTCATGGTGTGTGGAAGCTCAGTTTTAAGGGGAAGGGAATCCATTTTGGGGGTTTCATATCCCTGTGGGCAGACAATCCTATCTTTCCTTGCTCCTTTTTTGCTATGGGTATTTTATTTTTAAATTTCAAATCTTGTACTTGATTTAAGGAAAGTCCTTAACTTTCCCGGCATATGCTGAGGCCCAAAGGGAGCAAAGTACAGCCATCTAGAAGGTTAATAAATCAAAGGCATCTCAAGGTCACAGTTACCTTCTTGCAACATCTCCACAGGACTTCTGGGGCCGACCCGTGCCAACCCAGTGCTGGCAAGAACCCAGGGTCTTTGCAGGGACAAATGCAGCATAGATGTGTTGAGAGAGGTTGCTGAACACGAAGGATGAGGCTACAGGTACTATCTGGGTGACAATTTCACTTTCTGGAAAATACTGTCTGTAGCTCCCTGTTATGCATTGCTTTTTTTCCCTTTTTTTTTTGAATAGTAAGATTATTTTTTTATTATGTTCAGTTAGCCAACATATAGTAGTACATCATTAGTTTTTGATGTAGTGTTCAACGATTCATTAGTTGTGTACAACACCCAGTGCTGCTCCCTTTTACGCACTGCTTTTTGAGTACCAAATACTCAAGAACACTTACCTCGTTCTATTTCCCCCTTTGACCTTGACCCTGACTCTTTTCTAATGGGTATGTGTCCTGGGCACAATGAACACATTCTGGATGAGGCTTGGAGAAGCTGCAAATATTCCCTTCAGCCTCTCTCCCCAGCTAAGCCTCCCTTCATGGGTCCTCCCCAGCATCCGAGGGCCTCCAGGGGCGAGGGGCCTGGCTGAGCTCTCGCTCAGGCAGAAGCAGCCCTGGCCCTACAGTAAAGGATGCTAACTTGGCCTTCACCACACGAAGGGCTGAAAAGAACTTGAGAATTCCAATTAGACTTAAACTAATGAGCTGGAAACTTTGGGGAAACCACTGTGGGCAATGAGGGGAGAGTGTGACCATCTTCCTTCTAATTAGCACTGGAAAAACTTGTGGTCCAGCTGGTAGCCAAGAGGAAGGGCAGTGTACAGAGGGAGCAAAATTTCTGAGAGCGTTATAAGAGGTGTGTAGGAATAGAGGCTGCTGAACAAAAGCAGGCTCTTCCTCCTCTTGAAGGGTGGGGGTAGGAGGGAAGACCCTATATGGGGAAAGGCAGGCTTGAGTGGGCCTAGAGAGCCTCGTCTCCCAGCTGGCCTCCTCACACGATGGGGCCTGGGGCTAGATAAAAGGGGAGAGACTTTGGGGAACTCAGTATTGTAGCCTGCATCATCCCTGAGGCCAGGTTCCCCTTGCTCATCTCTCTCTACTCTCTTAGGCAGCCTCTGTCCCTTAATAAGGAAAACGCAGAAAAACCACCTGCTGCTGTCAAGAGCCACAGACCACCCGCTAGCCTCCGGCCATGCGTGGGGCACTGGGGCACCAAGGAAAGGGGTAGGGAAGAGCAAACTAGGGGCCAGAGGGGGGTCGAACTAGGGTGTGTATCCTGGAGAAGGGTCCTCCTCACTCCCGAAGCCCGAGGATTTAGGGGTGTCCGGCCCGTGGTGTCGACAGCTGGTCACTCCTTCCCTCCCCACCGGGGGGGGTCCTTTGGTAAAAAAAAAAATGGTGTGCCATGGGTGTCCCGCCATCCTCCTCAGGCCCCCGGGTCGCTCGGCTGGGGGCGCAGCACCTTGGAGAGAGACGCCCCATCTGGAGCCTTGTTTTGGGGCGCTCTACCTTGCGCTCGGGGGGTCAGGGGTGCGTGCCAGGGGGCCTCCGAGGGGTCAGCCTGTCCCCTGTCCAGCCCCGAGCAGAGGCGAGCCGGCGCTGCGGGCCTCCTCCCCTCCCGCCTCGGGCGGCCTGAGCCCGCGCCCGCTCCAGTTGCTGCAGCTGCTGCTGCTGGCGGCTGCGGGGAGCGCGGGGAGCGCGCCGAAGCGGCTCGGGCGGCGAGGACGGGGACGAGGAGGAGCCGGAGGAGGCGAGGAGGGAGAACGAGCGGAGGAGGCCGAGGAGGCTCAGCGGCGTGGCGACGCGGCTCAGGGATCCCGGGGGGCATGGGCTAGCGGCCGGGGCAACCCGGCAGCCGGACGCGGCGGACCTTCCGTGGCCCCGAGCGTGCAGGGGCGCCGAGCCGGAGCCGAGCGCAGCAGGGGACTGGAGGCTGGCGCGGGGGCGTCCCCGAGGAGGGGGCTGATTACCCGTTATTAACTAGTTGCCGCCTAATAAGCCAGGGGCGGCGGTTGAGCGGCGCGGGCTGCGCCCGGGGAGGGTCCCGGGCCGGAGCGCAGCGCACTCGCTTGGCGCACGGCGGGCCGGCGCGCAGAGCCGGGGCGGGCCCGGGGGCGGTGCAGACCCCGGGCGCTGGCGGCCCGTGGCGCCCCCTGGCTCTCGGCGCTGGGGGCCGGCTCAGCCCCGGGCGAGCGGGGCGCGGGCCGGGGCGAGGAGCAGCCCGCGCGCTCCATCCCCTCTCCACCCCCCCCCCGGGCGGGCGGGCGGCCGGGGGGAGGGCGGGCGGCGGCGGCGGCGGCGGCGGCCCGCCGTATATATCTCGGCGCACCCCGCCAGGTCGCGCACAGCACCCGGAGCCCAGGCGCCTCCCCGCCCCCTCCCCGCGCTCCGCGGCGGCGGCGGCGGCAGCAGTAGCAGCAATATGGCTGTTGATGGGTGTTCGGGGTGGCGCTGGCGGCGGGAGGAGCTCCCCCGAGCCCCTGCGCCGGCTGCCCGTTGCTAGCTATGGCAAATGGTGGCGGCGGCGGCGGCGGCAGCAGCAGTAGCGGCGGCGGCGGCGGCGGCGGAGGCAGCAGTCTTAGAATGAGTAGCAATATCCACGCGAACCATCTCAGCCTAGACGCGTCCTCCTCCTCCTCCTCTTCCTCCTCCTCTTCTTCCTCCTCCTCCTCTTCCTCCTCGTCCTCGGTCCACGAGCCCAAGATGGATGCGCTCATCATCCCGATGACCATGGAGGTGCCGTGCGACAGCCGGGGCCAGCGCATGTGGTGGGCTTTCCTGGCCTCCTCCATGGTGACTTTCTTCGGGGGCCTCTTCATCATCTTGCTCTGGCGGACGCTCAAGTACCTGTGGACCGTTTGCTGCCACTGCGGGGGCAAGACGAAGGTAACGCGCGCCCCGGGCGCCCGCCCCCTGCGCCAGCCCCCTGCGCCAGCCCACCTCCTCGCTCCTCGCCGCGCCGGGCCGCCCTCCATCCCTGCCTGCCTTCCCCGCGCCGCCTGCCCTTCCCTCCGCTCTCCCCGCGCCCCGCTTGGCGCGGCGGGGCTGAGGAGTTGCCCCCGACCGGTGCGCTCCGGGACGCGGACGCCCAGTGCCGTCCCCTTGTTTATGGTGGGATCGCCGGCGGCTGCAGTTGGGGCCGGACGCGGGGACGTGCGCCGCTCGGGGGCCGGGGTGCGGGGTAGGGACAGCGGAGCACGCGGGGCCCGAGGCCGCGGGGGGGCCTCCGGGTGCGTGTGCCGCCCGCCTCGCCCGCCGCGGCCGGGCTTCTGGTGGTGGGAGACCGGGAGCACGTCGGCCCGCACTCCAGAAACCTGTTGGGGAGCCGAGTTCGCGGAGTCGGACGGCAGGGGAAACCCTTTGGGCAGGGGAGAAAATCTTCTGCACTGGGGAACCCCGGGGGAGGAACCTGGCCAGAGGAAGTGGGGGGGGCCCTCGGGGACAAAGAGGGAAAGTTGGGGAGATGCATCCCAGTTTTGGAGGCAACCCATGGAGGCTGCCACTTTAGGAATGTGGCGAGGTCGCACATCTGATGTCACCTTCCTCCCCATCCCGTAGATATTCTCGTGGAACATACCCCCACCCCAAGTTCTTCAGCCTCTGTATTCTCGCCCCCACGCCACCCCCCTTAGGTCCCCGGAAATGCCGCCAGCAGCGGGGAGCTGGAGCAAGGAGGTCCGCGCGAGAGCCTCCGAGGCCGCGGTTTCGCGCGGAGCCTCCTCCCAGGCGCTTTTGAGGTGGCTGGATGTCGGCTTAAGCTATTCCTGGCGCCGAGACGCCCACCAGCACCGAGGCTCACTACACCTTAAGTATGGTTGCTAGGCTGACTGCCTGGTCTGTCGCCGTGTCCCTAGAGATGTCCCCCTTCCCCTCCTCCCCCCACTGGCTGAAGGTGAAGGGCTGGGGCAGTTTTTCACAGAAAACTGCAAAATAAAGAACTGGAAAAAAGAGGGACGGAGCTGCATTGTGTTTGAGTAATTCCCATCCTAAGGGACTTCACAGCGCCAACATTTTCGGAGGGAGGGGAGATCAAAGGGAAGAGGGGAAGGGCGCAGGGTAGAGGCAGATCTTGGGATGGTCACACCTTTTTCTAGTAAAGTTAATCCCAGGACCCCTCAAACTTCCACAGGGCTCCACAACTTGTAGCAGCCGCCTTAGTTGCTATGGCAAGTAGGGAAGCCAGGGGCTGTTGGTGAAGCACAGGGTGAACTCAGGCTCTCTCTCCTGATCATTAATTATACACCGCGCTGCGTGCTGCAGCTCAGCTGTGTTTTGCGGCAGCACATTTGTGTTTTGGAAAATACTGGTGTGTTGGAAATAAGGGAGAAAAATAAAAGCCATCTCTCTCTTCCTCCTCCTCCCACTTCTCCTGAGGCTTCCAGATGTTGGCCAGCCAGCTTTGGAGTTACCTCCTCCGCCATAGAGGTTTCGCCTTACTTGTCCAGGTGGGAAACCTCCCACATTCCAGAGAAGCAAACAGGTTAAGCGAAGTCAGAACCGTGAGACCCCGAGACCATGCTTCTTGCCTTAGCCTTCCTCTTAACCGCTTGTTCGTGGAGCCTTCTTGATCACATGTTCGCTCATCTCCTCCTCCGCCTAGTCTTGAGTCCTGGAGTTTCGTTTGTGGTTTTCCTTTACTGAGAGTCTGTGTCTGCCCTTAGGGGAGGGATAGCTCCTGGTCGTGGGCATCTAAAATGTTCAAAACCACTGAGTGGTTTGGGTGCAATTTTTAACAGCCTCCTCATCCTTAAGGAATTGGGCATTCTTGATCGTAATGAAAACTTTCCAGTGAGTCCAAATAAGTTGTGGTGTTTTTGTGATCGTAGGGTTTTAAACATTGCTTCCACGTGCTTTTTCCCTAGGGGTCCACGAATGTCCCTGCAGTCCCCGTGATGAAATGCTACTTGGATTGTTCACATAATCTCTTCCATAAAATGATGACCAAGCATAACTTCTGTCAGTCTTCTCAAGAAAAGCGGTTTTTGGCAATGATCGTTAGAAAAAATGATCCCTGTCTATTAGGCTATATTTTGTAGCTATGAGACCGACTGAGCTGACATAACTGGAAGTTTCTACAAAAAATCAACCTGGGACGAGAGATGCTTGCAGTTGGTTGGGAGCTTATGAGTCCAATGGAGAATGAGGTCAGGTCGCTTTTGATGCCATTAGAGTAGACTTTAAAACATGCCCAGAATCTCTTAATAACTACCCCTGGATTTGCTCACTTGAACCATGTGTGGCCAGCTCATTAATAGGAACTTAGGCCTTTTCTGAGCTTTTCTTTCTACCCCCGAGGTCTGTATTTTTACTGCCATCATGGTTTTTTGTCCTTCATTCTTTTTACTTTCCAAGTATTTGGTAGTTGTCGAGGTGCCGTATGAAAGAACGCATTTGTCCTAAGTTTGGAATAATGATTTTAGCGCTAGGCTTCCCAAGCAAACTGAGACTGCTTTTGCACAGAATTCTGTCGGCTCTCAGATGTGCTCACCCTCACCCTCATTCAGTCCCAAGATGGTTTGAACAGGAGCTGGGGTCTCGTGGAGGGCTGGTTTCTAGCTTCTGAAATTCCATGGGAGGTAAATTTCCGCAGGGTGTCCTGACATCACAAGTATTTGGCCTCTGGGACGGCACCATCTTTTTGGATCAAAGGAAGCTGGGACTATGGGTGTGCCTCATGGGGCATCTCATCATTAGCACCTTTGGCCTCTGAATCTCAAGTGGTGAGTGACTTTACTGTTTTGAAAAGAATGGAATGTGGACTTTATTCGGGAAATGAGAGAACTAATCACATTTCCCCCTGTTGGGAACTTGGGCACAATCATCCAGTCCCGTGTTCTTTGCCGTACTTTATCACATTATTGTTTTTCTCTGTTGGGTTTCGTCAGAGCTCTGGGTTCACGAGGCTGTGATGTTTTGAGGTCCAGTCCAGTTGTAGTGAACAGTGAGCAGCTCAGGCAGCCTGGATCAGGCCATGACCTTGAAGAAGTCATTTAGCATCTCTGGGCTCTTTTTCCTTGGGTTTAAAATGTGGAGATTGAATTCTGCGACTTCTGATGCCCCTTCCTGCTCTGTGATACAGTGTCAGTGGTTGGAATGAGTTGAGAAACTACGGGGAAAGTTTCTAGCTCAGAATGTGTTTTGCAGTTTTCTGGCAAATTCTTTAGGAATTCAGCCTTGGAGTGCTTTTGCATCTCTATTCCCGCCTTCTCCTCTTCCAGCACACGGTCTCCTTCTCTTCAGATTAGCCTGGGGAAACTGAGGCCAGCTTTCTGAGGGAGCTGTGGCTCGCTGGGGGACCTGAATGTGGCCAGGCATAGGCTCAAGCCTGCTCTCAGTTTGAGCTATCCACGCTGTAGAAGTTTGGGCTTGATCAAGCCTGGTCTGCATATAATGAATTATTGTCTCCATGGCTGTGTCTGAGAAAACAACACGTTTTCTCTGTCAGGTTCGTGACTAATATAAATATCAGATCCTGTTATGGCTTGGTAATTACCCAGGGTCTGGCCCGACGCATCCAGTCAGGGCTGGAGCTCCAGTGCCTCAGAATTCTTGATTCTAGGTTGGCCCTGCTGCCTCATCTCATCTTGGGGGTTGCCTGCACTGGACGACCTTCAGCTAATTCTCTCTGATCAGATCACTTAGGGTGGCCTTGGAGAAATTCTCAGGTCCCAGTCACAGGGGAGTTCCAGCAGACCTTCCCTCGAGCAGAGGGCGTTTGCTTCCCATTACCTGGCTCTCTTCATGGAAATGCGCGCTTTATCGTAGAGACTCAGCAGTCAGATCCGAGTGCGAATCCTTGGTTGCACACTTAGTAGCAGGGCATCTTTGGCTGGCAGCCATATCAAGCCTTGATTTCTTCATCTGTAAAAGGAGCATAATGAGGCTTACTTTGTAGGATGCTTATGAGGAGTAGCAATAATGGGTATATAGTACCCAGCAAATGCCTGGCACTAAGCAGGCTTCCTGTAAGTAGCTCCACAAAGTGGTGAGTTTGTTTTCTCCTCGATTCCTTGAACGTTTTTGGCCCCAGCGGGGCACAGACTACAACAAGTAGAACTTTTCTGAGCCAAAAGGAACCTCTAGACTCTGAAGTCTCCTGTCCTTGGGTCCAGCAACCGCTTAGGGTCAGACTGAAATTTGGGTTCATGGCTCTTGGCTGTTGCAGGCCTGGAGGATTGCGGTGAGGCAGCCAGGGAAGGCTGTGTGTTTTGACGGTTGCTCTTGGGGTGGTGGGGACGTTGGTGGACTAGTGTTGACTAGTGTTGACACCGTCTGGCTCCAGGAGCGGTAGACCGAGAAGATGTGAACAGTTTGGTAGGAGGGCAGGGGCCGGCCAGCGTCATACCTTTGAGAAGGGACCACGTCCATCCCTGTTACCCCAGTCCAGAGCTCACAGACCTGTTCCCTTGATGATGTCGCAGTTTCCTGGCCAGGGTTCTCTGTACCCAGCACCAGCTCTCCTCAGAGCGGTGTTGCCCAAAGTGTGTTCTGTGGAGCACTTGCCCTTTACCTCGTGAAAAACGTTGTGAGTCAATGGCACACCTGAGCGCCCCCTTGGAGAGTCACATCCCAGGCTTGGGGACGTCCTGTAGTAGAGAAATTGGTGAAACTGCGCTTACCTGGGCTCCCATAGAGCAGACTTGCTTAGCTGTCGAGCCTGCTGTGCCGTACCCGAGTCAGCCTGTGACCTTGGGCAAGGACTTTGCTGCTTCGTGCCTCAGTTTCCTCATCCGCAAATTGGGGGTTGTCGTAGAGCACAGCCCTGTGGGGTAGCTACTCTCTCTAGCCCTATTTTGTAGACTTTCCTAAGAGGACACTGGTGACCTAAAGCCTTGGGCTGACTCTGTATCCAGGTGTGCCTGGACTTGTCCAACATGCACCAGGAG